GAACAGATGAAAACTCCATATTTAAGCAATTACATGCAACTCAGAAATGCCAATTTCCATCAGTCAGCCTAAGATACGCAACATATTTTTGTTCTTTTTTAGTATATAGGTGATATATGTTTTTATAATTTGCTTAACTGCATATAGTGAAATTTTAAAAATCACATAGACCATATAAAACCATAAAAGAAAGGATACCTTTTTTATTTTTCCCTATGTACCACGTTTCTACATTGCTTACAGAGCTGTACAAAAAACACTGTTCATTTCTATATAAAGATTTCCATAAAATTTTTATAGTTTCTATAAATGCAAAAAGATTGTTAGCTTCATTATAACCTCTGCTCAGTGCCAGTGGAAAGAAAAGTTACCTACAACTAAAACAGCAATGTACATATACAGGGTGGGTAAGTATGCCCAGACCTCTATTTAAAGAGCTCTAAGACACTCACTATATTTCATAAAGATATAGATGAGCACACTGGAGAAGCGACTACTAGCACTTAACTCTAATTGCCACTCTTAGAACGAACAGGCTATAGAAAGTGCAACTGTGAGAACAAGTTAGTATTTCTAGGTGTTTTAGTACAAGAAATAATCATATTACAACTAATACATTTTAAAATGTTATGTGTAATGCCTATTATACTTGACTCATTACAAGGCTATTTATGGAAATTTCTCTCTGATAGGTTAGTATATCTTTATTCCAAATTATCCTGTACTAAAAGATATATTAAAAGGTATTATTAATCTGAAAAATCATAATGTTTTGAAGCCAAAGATCGGATTTTGAAGAAAGTGGTGACCATAATTTGCTAACATGTTAATTTAACTACCCTTTTCTTAATTCAATTAGTATTCATTAAAACTGCATTAATCACAATCAGTAAACTTTTGCCAATTATTTCCATAATTATGAATGAATACAGTAAACATATTCGAATAATTATAAATCCACTTAATTAACTAAAAGGTTATTTCCAGCAGGGAAAGATTTTTATGTTTTGTTTTCTTATTTTTAATGCTAGATTGACATGTTGATATCTTTAAGAAACCATTTCTAGAAATGCAAGATCTATATTATTGTGATTCTATTCTTCTTTAACAAAAATTTTCTATTGGACTGGCAGTGTTGAGTTACATTATCTAAAATTATAAGAGATTGCAAAGAATCTGGTTTAAGTCACCAAAACCAAAGTCACTCAAATATCGCATCTGTAGTTTAGTAATCTTATCACTAAAAAATTTAGACTATTTCATGTTATGCTTATGAAAGATAAAATTTTCAAAATTTTATAATTAAGTTGTTAGAAGATTTTTTTTTAATGCAGTATCCTTTTCAAGTCAGGATCATACCAATGTTGATGTTTTAATATTTAAACTAGCTAAGCATTAAACAAAAGCAGATGAATAAATAATGTGCATTTTGAAAAAGACCTTGCTTCTTGTCTTTCCTTTAAAAAAAAAAATAAGCATTGCATGTCTTTCTGAAATTAACAAAGGCTATACTTTCAAGCTTCAAGGCAGCAGGCTTACCAGATTTTAAGTGAAATATTGAGTGCTACAGTGATTTAATGGTTTTAAACCATAGATGTCATTGTGGTCTGAGGGTGTCACAGACAACTTAAGGAAGAAAAAAAATGGGGCACAGAGAAATCACTTTGTCAGTAATTACAATCAAGAATACTAAAATGTGGCTCAGGCTGCTCATTACTTCTTCCTTCTGTATCAAGACCCTTATTTACATTTCAGATTACATTTTTTATGAAACAGTAAGATCTCTCAGAGCTGAGAGGACTGAAATAATGAGGGGAAAACATTTTAATAAAATGTGTTGGGCCTGCATTACTTCCGTGTCAGAAGGAAAGGCTACTTCTGTAGTGATGGATCATTTATTCTGCTTCTAAACGAGAAGCAAAAAGATGAAACTGATGAACTTTTACTGCCCATTTGTCTTTAGCAGACAATTAAGACAGAGAAGATCAAAATGGATTATCATACCACGCAGACAACTGGCCCAACAGTAATACATCTCCGGGACCACAGATTTGTAACTCTCTTTTATCCCTCCCCTTTCTTCTTACTTCTGTTTCCACTCTAAAGGCAGTGCTAGCTTTGTGGCTCAAGGAGAGCCACAAGGCTGGTCATCATTATTCAGCCACAGATGTCAATCTAACCTCCCTTTTTTCTCAGTTTCTAAAGCACTGAGCCACAATAATTTGTGACAGATTCTTTTACTGTAAGGTACAAAGAACACACAGAATAAAACATCGAGCAGCAGCAAGCGTCTCTGATCAAGTGTGCTAGTACATGGGAAATACACAAATGTAAAAGCGAGCACTGGTAGTTGAGGCGAATGAAGAGAAAAACTGGGGTGGGGGGGATTGTGTGTGTGCATGCGTGTGTGTGCGGTAACAAGCGCTATACTTTGTGGTGAATTATCTCAAATATTCCTTATGGGTTACATCATAAATGTTTTAATACTAGAAATGTTGTCTAGATTAAGTGCACATTCAGCATTTAAAGTTTGCATGTAATAAAAATATTTCTAAGAATTCCTTTGTAATAGTACACAGAGGGGAAAGATAATTTTGTTTAACCCAACAAATGCTAAAAAGAGAACATAGAGACCAGAATCCAAATGATAAAAAAGATAAGTAAGAAATATGCAGGTCTCATTTCCTTTACCAGTAAATATATTTCTGGAAATGTGGAGGTAATATCAAAAATAAAATAAATCTTTCATTCATCCTCCATTCTTGAGTTCCATGTGAAACAGAAGGAAAACCATGTGCTGAGTCAAGTTTGAAGAGATGCTAAACAGGCCAGTGATATGCACACTCTCCTAAGTCTATATTTAGCCCATGAGTATCATCCTCCAAATTTCAAAACTATGTCACTAATCTAAACAAAGAAAATAAGTACTATTTCCTACGAGCACTTTAGCTGGAAGCTATCACTATTTTTCAGGCTCTTACTGTAATATTAAATAATTCAAACTTCAACATAGAAAACTCTTATAAGATCATCCATTAACCAAAGTAAAGAGAAGTTAAGTTCATAAGAATATCTAATCTGTAAGCTGGGCTACATAGGCAATGAAAGAATTAATAATCTATATTTCTGTATTTCTATACATAAAACAAGTATATTATATATATGTATATATGGTACCTGTATATATACACATACACTCTCCCCAAATACACAAACATTATACATATACTCAGGAAAATAAACATGGAAAAATAAACATCAAATTATCTTAGTGGTTATCTCTTAGTAAAACTATAGATGGTTTGTATTTTCTTCCTTTTCATGCTTTTTATTATTTGTCTATATTTTCTAAATATTTTTGTATTGAAATATTATCTTTGTGATTTCCAGAAGTTATACCAAAAAACTCATATTGCTCAAAAATTTTCATATAGTAAAAAATGTTTAAAGAAATTGATCCAGATGTTAACCATATTATTTTAAGTTTTCACCTACAAAATTTTCTCTCACTAGGTAATTCAGATCACACAACCACAAAGGTTATTTTACCTTTTACACAAGATTTTAGAATAATGATTTAGAATAATGATTTAGAATAATGATTCTTTAGAACAATGATTAGAACAATGATTTACCTACACACAGATTTTAGAATAATGATTTTCAAGTCTATTCAAATTAATACGTTAAGATTTTCCACTCTTTAGACATTGTTTAAGGAAAGAAAATCATTAACAAAAAGGTCCTATAACCTTTGATTTGTGTAGTTTAAATCCAATGGGCTCAATTCCACTGCAATTTAAAGCAAGATTTAACTTTCCAGTTGGAAGATGAAGGAAGGGGTAGAGTGAGACGATTAGTATTTTTTAAAATCTCACTTAAAAGTCTTGGGATCACACACAAAGCAAACCATACCAGTTCTCTTGGGTTCTTATACAATACAATAAAATCTCATTACAAAGCATCTCATTATACTGATTATCCAATTATAGTCCCGGTCACAATATGTCCCCTGTATTCATAAAGATGTATCAGATACCTTGCCTTCTGTTGTATGGCCACACTGCAAAGGTGTTATTGCTACTATACTGGATATTTCTATTCTATTGTACTTATCCTTATTCAAGGACTTTTTTAATGAACAAAAATTAAGCAGATGTACTGCAAAAACATGTTATGTTGTATACAATATTCCACACGTGAAAGGTTTTATAAAATTGTTTTATTCAGTATAGTCAAGGATGCTTTTATTTTAAAACTGCTTTAGAAAGCATAACAAATTGCATGTTTGAACTGAAAATGTAAGGTGCCCCCAAAACCTACAAAGTATTGCTAATGTTTCTTAACACTGAAGCTGGACTCCAAAATGCATAACCTGGACCTGATTGTCAAGAACAGAGCAGCAGCAGAGCTTCGACAGTATTTTGTGATTAAAATAGTTCCTTCCACTGCATTCTATGCTTGCAGAATTCAGGAAATCCAAGATGGCAGGACCAGCTGGCCAATCTTAACTTTTCCTGTCATCATTACCACTACCCTACCCATGAAGACCCTTCCTGCATGCATGTCTTCTCCTCTGGGTAGTTTCATAATCTATTTCAAATTCCAGGTTATGTTATAAAGTTTCTTCCACCCCCTTTTTGTTACAGTGACTCTTGATGCTTAAATAACATTAAAAAAAAAAAAGTTCACAGGCAACCCAAACAGATTTCTTAATGAACTGCAGACTGTAGCATAGCTTCAAGTAAAAAGCAAAATTTGTGATAGATTTTTCTTCCTTACTTTCTGTATTTTCTTTCCCCTGAAGGTAACACCCCAAACTAGCACAAATATTTTCAATCCTACTTCAATGTTTCACTTTTTGTCTTGGGTTCCTAATTACTGTTTCTCTTCCCTTCTAAAAATTCATTTATCTCTTTCAGTAAAAAGAACAGTAATAATATGTTGAACAACTCTGAAATAAATTTTGTCATGTAAAAAATTAATTACGCATTCCGAACCTGGTCACTGTAGTCCTCCGGGAATTGCCTCTGCACCTCAGGATCTGTAAATAATTGACAGATAATATTAATTGGCTTTGGATTAGTGAGCAAGCAGAGGATCACACATTAATATTTGATCAGAAGATGATAGCAGCCCTGGCAGGGGATCCAAGGGGGGCAGCTGAGGCTGCTATGTTGATGAGCACAAGGAAGGACTCGGCAAGGCACTCCCATTACCCTCCTCCAGAAATAGAAAAAAGAAAAATTTTAAAGACCTGATGCTCCTGTTAACTTTAAACTATTACCCAATGCAAAAATCTTGCCAGTTGCAAATTGCCCTCAATATATTTTTTCCAGAGAAAATGAGTTTTAAACCTGCTTGACTTTTCTTCTCTAATCAAAAGCCTCCTTTTCACAGTTAGAGATGCAGGCTTGATAAACTACCTTAAGCAGCAGTTTCAGATTGGGGCGGGGGCGGGGGTATGTGAGGCAGTGAGGGTGAGCGAAGTCTTCAAGGAACAAATGCAGAACTCCTCACTTTTAAAAATAAAATGCACACTTCCCAAAATACTTACGAGCTCTTGAAAATACAGATGAAACTAGGTAAAGTCTTCAAAACAAAACCAAACAATAAATACACTTTTAGCTTACCAGTGTAAACAAACTCAAACTTGCTCAGAAACTAAAAAATGTATAGGTGAAAATACCTTTCATGACAGTCGGTTTAAAATGAAATTACTAAAAGGGTCACTGATTCTTCAATCATAATTGCAAGATTATCCAATGCCATTTTCTGCAAGTCAATATAGAAGTATACTAATTAAAAACTATTAGCATTCCATTTACTATCGATTAGGAAAATATTCAATCTTTTCTAGAAAGAGACAGATTTGGTTCCTCAGAGACACATTAAGGGGAGTGATCAAAATAATATCTATTTGAGAAACTGTGTATCAATGCAAAAGGCTTATGGAAAAGCACTACAGTTGAGGACCCCTTGTCACAACGATCACGATATATACTACTCATTTGGCATTTCTGTGTTTTAAAACATCAATTTACTTTTCTGGGAAAGTGAATCCACGTAAAGTTAAAATCCTGTTATCACAACATAAAAACGCAGTTAATTGTTTGCAGGGGAAGAATCAAAAAGAGAAATAAGGGTCTATTCACATACTACATTTAAATCCTAGAAATAGCAGTTTTCAAGTTATTAAAGTCAGTGCATGTTACTTCTCAAAATCTAAGACTAATCACAAAAGCAAGAATATTGAAAAGGCCACATCAAAAGCAGAGCTTCCCTAAATGGGTGGTGCAAAAAAAAAAAAAAAAGTAAAGGATCTATAGATCATTTCAGCTCTTTAGTGTCTTCTGGTTGACTTAAAAACTAGGGATCGCCTGGCTGATGTGGCTCAGTTGATTGGAGCATCATCTATGAAAGGTGGCAGGTAGGATTCCTAGTCAGGGCACATACCTCGGTTGCAGGTTCAATCCCTGGTCAGTCGGTCAGGGAGCCTACCTAAGGCAACCAGTCAATGTCTCTTTCTCTCTTTCTCTCTTCCTCTCCCCCCTCACGCCCCCCTCATCTGTCTCCCCCCACCCCCGACCCCTCTCTTTCTAAAAAAGCACTGAAAAAATGTCATCAGGTATGGATTAAAAAAAAAAACACATAGGGATCAATTTTTATTTTTTAAACCCATCTTCAAATACTAGAAAGGACAAATGACTTCTAGACTGTGACTAGCAGAATTCTGGTGGGCCAATGAAGACACTGTCACTTCTCTCTGTCCAGAAGGGCTGAAATTATACAAGGACTTCTTGAGACAGGAGACCAGGGGGCACTTCTGGTAGTTGGTAGGTCTGCAGGGAAGAACTGGACAGCAGGGTGCAAAGGGACAGCCAGATGCCCAACAAACCTCTAAAAGTGTGTTGTGAGATTGGTGGCAGGCAGGGGGTGAGGGAGTGCTAAAAAAGAAGGTAATGGCTATAATTCTGAAAACATACAAAAATATGTTTGTCTAAGGAAAAAAAACCCCTGGTATTTTAATATTTAAAATGTGTTCCCAAGGCCAAAAAAAAAAAAAAGCACATCTAAGTCACTGAGGTACACAGTAAAAGAGAGGTTGGTAAAGCCAAAAAATAATCTAAGGCTTATTCTTTTTCTTCCAATTGTCAGACAATTAAAACTTACCCTTAACCAGAAAACTTGAAATAGAAATGGCTCACAATAATATTTAATATCATGTCCTCTTCCTTGCAATATAGCTTGTACTTCTTGGGAACCACAAAATACCAATGAAAATAAAGATGGAATAAAACCAAAGACTTAATTTCTTATCACCATTTGGTGAGAGACGAACATCAGAAACCAAAATTTGTGGTACAGCCTTCAACTTAAAATATGTAACTTTCTTGATATACATAAGAGAAAGAAGGTATTCAAATCTCTTTAATCAACTATATTAATAAGAAACTACATTAATAATTAACTTGTCACTTTAAAATGTATTTTATTCACATATAAAACACAGAATTGAAAAAGAGAAATAAACATGTATAAAAAGAAAAAATCAACCTATTTTAATATACTGAAGGTAAATATGACCATGGAACGCCAAGATGAGGGCCACTCAAACCATATTATCCTAAACACTGCCTCAGTGGTGGGCAACATCATAACCACCACCAACTAACTTCCTCCCACCGTCCTAAGACTAACCCTAGGGTGAGATTCCCAGATTTTAACAGAATCATGTTCCAAGATATTGCATGAATTTTATTTACTATGATTGAAGCATAAAACTTTTGACTTCCTTTCTTTAAGGCCCTGACGTTTACAAAAGTAAACTTCATGGGTCCTTAACACTCTTCTAAAACAGTATTTTTCTTTAAAAAAGGCGATGCTTTTTAAAACCAAAGCCCAACCTATATAAAGTTCCATTCAATTAGCTCAGAGATCTAGTCTGATAGTTAATAAAATATGAAAGCCATTTTGTAAATATTAACACAAAAACTGAAAATAACTTGTTTGAATTTTCTTAGAATGTCTATTTTATACAGTAGGTTGAAATCTTTTTTTCACAGTGAGTTGATCATCATGCCATAATGTCACCAAAATATCGACATTGGAAACATCTGAGTTAAAAAGGTCCAAATACAATCTGCTTTTCTCAAGCAACACAACACCCGCCTTACTAACAGTTTCAGCATGGCACTTGTACAAAACCTAGCACCCCGCAGTTAAGCAAACCGCCTTTAAATTTTCTGTCTGGCAGCAATCCACTTGCGTGTCTGTATGTTTTTACAAGTACTCTATGTATTTCATTGCATCAGCTGCATTTCTTTTGAGTTTTAAATGGTCTGGGAACATTTTATGAAATGTTCTATATCTTTATATGGAAAATAACATACACTGGATAACTGTGCATTGGTCTAATATTTACATATCTATTTCTTTATCTAACATCCAATGCTCTAATTTCTAATGTTCAAAAAACCTCCTCACATTCATACCCTCACTGCCAAATGCAGTGTCACCAAACAGCTAACTTTATAAACACAAAAATCTGCAGATGAGAGAACTACCATGGAAAAAAGTAACATAATTTGCTTAGGCAATTGGCAGTAAGAATAGACTTATTGGCATATGTCAATCTTTTTCTCTAAGAATTGTCCCTGACAGAAAATTAAGAACATAATACAGCAGTACATAGCACCCTCTTCCTTCCTTATCCTTCTCAGCAACTTTCTCCAGATTTAAATAATACATTATTACAAAAACTAAAAATCAATTTCATCATCTCCTAGAAAAACACTTTTCAACAACAAAAGAATCATATTTAAAATATCTTGCCAACAAGATGCATGGTATGATAGACTCCCCACCGCTTAGCCACACAAGCCTCGCAAGGCTCCACACTATGTCAGTGTAACGGGCCAGTACCTTGTCCCAGCGCCATGATCACACAAGAGGCTGTCCCACACAGAGCATGTGCACCACTTCCACTGGAGCCACAAGACACAATTCCATATTAAATACAGACACGGACACAGTACAGACTCCCAACAGCACGGTCTCATTCAGGCACAGAACACGACCGTGCTTAGAAGGCTGTGTCACCACAGTGAATAAAAAGTTTGATCTCAAAAATGTCTTATTTTTTTTCAAAGAAATGCTAATATTCTTCAATCTCAATAATCCATGTTTTCTAGTTTTCTGCTGTAACATACTTTTAAATCTTTAAGATACACCAGATTGCCACAGGATGTTTAATTAACAGAATAAGAGTTTGGGCAAGACTTACTAGAAAGGTGCTATAAATTATTTTACACAGGCTCCAAACCTTGAGTCCTGCCTTAGGCTTAAAGTTCCTAGAAAACGTGGTAGACAGAACTTTTACAACAGAAATGCAAATAATTCATAAAAGTACTGTGGTTATGTATGAGGGCTCATTTGTAGATCAGTAACTAGTGTGTGTATACACACACACCCCTCTCACCAAATTATTTTCCTGTTTTTCTGTCACACCGATGACTCCACTGGAAGGGTCAAGGCATGACACTTTAACTGATAACTGAAAAATACACTGTCTTCGTTTTCTGTGAAAGGCATAACAACTTCATACTAACTAAATGTTACAATCTTCTATAACTGGAAATTTTTTAGGAAATTTAAGAGAAACTGCAAATGTAGCCATTAACATAGCAGCCTACACTACTTTCACTTTTAACATGCTAGGTATCAAGGCAGAAAACATTACATTCAACATCTACTAAATTTATCCAGTCATTATCTCTAGCATATTTCAGTGAATAAGAGGCAAAACTCTGAATATATTTAAAGCTAACAATTATAAAAATCTGTGCTTTTAAAGCAAGACTTTGAAATTAGCTATAAATGATATAATCTTATTGTTCAATTTCATGGAGTTTAAGATACTATCTTCCTCTTCCCCTACCACCACAAACGTTAATCCAAACTGTAATCAGATTTAATTTTCCAGATGAGAAGATGGGAATATGCTGCAAACCAGTAATAGTCCATACAATGCCCGTTCCCTAA